AATTCAAAACAAATCAATTTTTCATCCAGTCCTAATCTTTGAATTCATTAAAATTAATTTTTGGTTATTAGTAATGATATACAAATTTAAATAAACTTATAATTAAATATTATGATTGATAATAATATTATATTCTAATTTTCATAAATCTCTGTTACAATATCTCAAGAAGCTTATGTACTTATAAGTTCTTAATAAATATAATGATGATGGACCTCTCTAACTATTTCTTGATAAAAATATCAAATAAGCATTTAATTTATGCTTTAGAAACGCCCATCAGCTCATCTATTAGTATATTTATTCTAATTTCAATTATATTCAACTGTATCATTGATTTTGATACTGTTGATGATCTGTTGGAATATAGAAATTTATGTATTCTATTGTAAAATTGCCTATACTATGATTATGTATTAATTAGATCATCATAGCGTATCATCTACAGGATAATAAAGCCCTAAAAATTATTTTTTTCTTTCAAAATTAAATAATTAAATAAGAAGTTTAAAATTTATTGCTAAAAGATTATTGTTATTTAATAAAATCCTTGTAATCTCTATTTCTACATAATTAATGAAAAATGATTCACCGGTGAATAAGTTAATTTCACTTTCAAATTAGATAACTTCACCAAGATATTTAATGAATAATTAACAATTTTATGAAACAGATATGTTAACTAGAAGTTTCTTATGAACAGATATTTGGAAAAAATTATTTTAGTGATGCAGTTTGTATCTACTGCGAGGAAATAGTTGAAAAGTAAAAAAATGAATATAAAATGCTGAGAGGCTTTTCATTATAGAAGTTGTTCAAATAGATTGAAGATGAAAAACATTTATTATAGAAGAGTATAAAAGATATGGAATTGTTAGGACCCTGTTAATCGTGAATAAGATTTCCTGGCTTAATATAGACATGATTAAAGGTAGATTTAATAGAATTTAAAGTATCATTTTTCTGATATAGAAGTTAAAAGTGAAATTTTTACTCACTATCAAAGAAAGCAGAATAGAATATTTATAGATTTAGAATTGTATTAAAATGCTTTAGCCATAAATCCATAGCATGTTTATTCATTGTGGGGAAAAGGTAAATTAAATTTAATTAAATTTAAGGAGATTGTCTAAGAATGATTGATTAATTTGAATAAGCATTAGAATGGTACGAAAAAGCTTTAGCCATAAATCCGTAACATGTTTATTCTTTATGGGGAAAAGGTTTATGGAATTAAATTATTTTATTAGCCTTTACCTTATTCAAATTAAGGGAATTTGATGATGCCTATCATATTTTCAAGTTAGCAAAATAGATGTTACCTAATTAAGAATTTATTGATGCATTTTTAGGTATTTCACTTTATTTAGTAAATTAGAGTAATTCACAAATATTTGAATTTATATAAAATTTAATATTAATAATAATTTAATCCTTTTCTAAATTGTGTTTAAGAGTTTAAATAATTTACATATTTAAATAATATATAATTTAACAACATTAATTAACAAACATAAAAGAGAAATTTTAATATTATTTACTTATTTTAGCTTATTTACTAAATAATTGTGTTGTCTTTTTCTTATTTAAAAGTGATTAAAATATATTGCTATTATGTTTTTATTAAAAGAATAAAAGTAATATTCTTTAAATAAGTAATATCAACATACATTTATTATTAAAATTATAGATTCTTGAAAAATATAAATCTATTTCTCATTATCAAAAATTAATTATCACTACATTTATAATTTTGTAGATTTATATATATAAGATAATTAATGTTAACATAATGTATTTTCTAATTTTCTTAAAAGTTGTAAAAGTTAATTAATATAATTATATTTTAGTTTTAATCTCTGAATCATACTTTTAAAATTATTTTCTAGAACATCTTCAATTTTCAAATAATATTTATTATTTAAAAGAATTTAAATCTAAATAATCATGATATCAAATTTAAATAAACTCAAAAAAAACAATTAAAAAGATCTATTAAATAACTATAGCTGAACAATTTAATAAAAAAAACTTTTTAATAAATTTAAAATTATTTTTTTTATTTCAATTATTAAGTTAAATTCATTTAAAAAATTATCTTATTTGGCCTTTCTTTTTATCATAGGTAAATGCAGTTATCGATGAATTAAAATAAATTTCAAAAATAAGTTTTAAATTTTGAACAAAAAATCGAGAGAAATATTAAGTCGCAAATTAATAAAAAAAGAATTTAAAGTTATTCATAAGTTTCATAATTATAGAAATTTTGTTAAGAAAAAAAAAAGAATTATTAATAAAGAAATTAATCTAAACTCAATAAGAAATTTTGTTTCCATATTCATTATTGAAATTTAATAATCTCATAAAAATGAAATCATTAAAAAATTTGTTTCTACTATCAAAATCAATAGAGGCATCCAAATCATGAAAATATAATAAAAAGCTATATATTTCTAGTAGAATGAACAACTAATAAATTTGCCCTGTATTTTGTATAACTCATCCATCGAAAATA